TGCTGGACCTGAGTGGCCTCAGTCGTGACTCACTAGGCCTGCCTGACTCAGGTACTCGTGACCGTATGCGCTACAGCACCATGCACTCGACGTCAATGGAGTACACCCCATCGGCGACTGTCGCTCCCATAACAGCCGCTTCTTCTCTGCATGCACGAGGGCTTTCTAGTGCACCCAGGCAACTACCTTCGTGATCAGATCACGCCATGCACGCCGATCAACCGCTTTCGATTCCCATGACCTGCAACCAACGTTAGAATGCGATAGGCCAGCTTTGATCATGTACTGGTAACAAAGCTTCGGTTTCCCCACATGCCGCTCCCCCACACTTAGCTGAAAATATAATAGCTGTTTCGGTATCTGCGTCGAATATGCCCGAACCATCTTAGGTGCCTCAGCAGAATTATGTAGTCTACTGCATATATGCCACTGCGTCGGAGCACCTCCGTATCTGCAACTCTGTCACTCCAGCCGATGCGCATAAAATGTCCAGGTTTCGCTGCCGGATAGAAGAACGGACAACACCATGGACTTGTATACCAGCAGCTTTATTCCAACAGTGAGCTGGTTGTTGTTCCACACAGGCATTCCAGCTCGCCAAAAGCAGCAGCCACCTTCGATACGCTGCTGTGCGGCTCGCTAGTCATTTACTGGTCGGTTGTTATTACGCCAGCAAGGTAGCGAAATCTTGTAGTCTTAAACAGTCTTGCTTGTGCTGATGGTGAGCCCGAATTTGGCCGCTGTTGGAGCCAGAACACTGGTCATATGCTGCCACCCACCCGCGCTATGCGCAAACAATGCACAGTCGTCAGTAAACAGCAGCATACGGATAGTTGTCTCACAGACTAGGATTCTCGCACCGAAACGACGGATGCTCAGCAACCCACCATCAATACGGTGCTCCACACGATCACCTTAAGCACAAGCGGCATCAAGAGCATAAGACATCATTGCATGAAGACAAATATTAAACAGAGCTGGAGCAAAGACACAGTCTTGCTTCACAGCAGAGACAACTACAAAGTCATCCGAGGTTGCTCCACTCAGTTGCACCCTCGTCCGCACACAACTGTGCAGACATTCAAACAAAAAAACGTTCTACGTGTTACTGGGAGAGAAACGCCACTACAGCACCCCGTGAATGCAATCCGATCGCTTAAATGGCCAGCTGGTGGGTGAGCCCCTTGGAATCAGCGCGCGACTGATGACTGTTCGTCTACGACTCGGAAGAGGCAAGTTTGCCATTTTTATAAGCACGTACGTTATCCTGATGACAAGACGGATCAGTTCTAGGCTTAGTTATCCTCCGTGACACCGTCTGTACCGAGGAGCGACCAACTATTTCTGCTGAGCGATCTTAACGCGAGCGTTGGGTGTGATGTATCGATGTGGACAGATGTCATCCGCCCGCATGGCATTGATTCAACGAATTCGAACAGTGACAGAATGCTCTCAATGTGTGCCACTCACGGCCTGACGATAACGAATACTCGGGTTGCACTGAGTACGAGTGATATAGCAAATTGGACACACCCAAGAAGTGGTCACGCTCACCTGCTAGACTATGTTACCGCACGTCAGCGTGACATACGTGAAGTGCGCATGATACGTGTACTGCGTGGAGCTGAGTGTGGCACTGAGCACAAATTGGTGCAGACCAAATTGTACATATACTTTCGTAAATCTATATACTACACTCCTGCCGTGTACCGGTGGAAATATAACGTTTTTTCCCTAGGAAATGTAGATAAGAGGATGGAGCTGGAGAAGGCGATGGGTACACACACCTGTGTGATGTGGACTGCATAGCCACAGTGGGCGACCTGTAGCACAATATTCGCGACCAGGTGACAGCTGCTGCTGTCGGGCGCGCAAACAGCAAACGGTCGGATTGGTTTGATGAGAACAATTCGACGATTGGTGCATTGGTGTCAGCGAAGAATGCAGTATTTGCTGAACATGTGGCAGATCCCAGCGACTTGGGGAAGAAGAGTCAGTTTCGCAAACTTTGACGGCGACTGACTCGAGAGCTCAGCCGCATTAAAAATGCATGGTGGACGGAGAAGACGTGGCAGATGGAATGCTACACCGAACGCCGACAACACAAGGAATTCTTTGAATCCTTGAAGACGGACCGAGGTTGGGGCCGCTGAGGACGCTGATCGATAGTAGATTAGGCGCAACCTGCACACGGACTGTAGACATAATGCAGATCTGGTGAAGTTATTTCGACCGTCTTTTGAACTGCCCGGAAATTGGCTGGCCAACATTGAACGGACTCAAACAGCACGAGGTAAAGGTGAGTTTGGCAGATACACCGACACTGGATGAGACACAGAGGGCACTTGCTTAGCTGCCAAACGGCAAGTGTGCTGGAGACGACGGGATGCCACCTGAAGTATTGAAACACGGCGGATCCCTTTGGTGACTGCGCTGAAACAGTTGGTGTAACGCGTGTGGATTGAGGAGGTGCCTCCTGAGCTGAAGGATGCCCTTGTGCTGCCACTGTACAAGGATAAAGGAAGCAAACAATGTTGCACGAATTATCGTGGCATCAATTTGCTGAGTTGTGTGGGAAAGGTGATTGCCCGAATCCCGCTCAACCGCTTCGCCATTCACGTGGTGGAACCGAAGGTTTCGGAAGAACGATGTGGGTTCCGTTCGGGTCGCAGCACTATAGATATGGTGTTTGCGGCTCGTCAGTTGCAGGGGAGGTGCAGAGAACGACACCAGCCGTTGTACTCGCCTTTGTTGATCTCACCAAGGCATTTGATACGGTGAACCTCGAGGCATTGTGACTAGCGCTCGGTAAGTTCAGTTGTCCGAGTAAGTTTGTAAGTTTAATTGAGTGTCTGCACAGTGGTATGCGGACGAGGGTGCAGCTGAGTGCAGAGGTCTCGGAGGACTTTGCAGTTGTTTCCGGTGTGAAGCAAGACTGTGTCTTAGCTCCTGCAATATTTGAGGAGCATTTCTCGTGTGTGGTGGCAACAACGTATCTGTAGCAGTGCAGATCTCGTGTCTTGCAGCATGCGAGTAGTTCCTTCAACAAGTTGGTTTTACTGCGTCAGTTAAGATGCCTTGGTCACCTCCTGCGTAAGTTAGCAGAGCGTTTGCCCCGTTAGGCTCTTACCGCTCGTGCTGGACTTGGATGGAAGAGACCATGTGGTGGACAGCCGTCCACTCGGCGACGGCATATGAAATGGTCGACTTCATGTCTTGATGCCCCCAAACCCACACGTCTGTTTGGATGGGGACCAAAAGACGAAGAGTGCCGATGATTGGAAACAATTCAGGATGTGGCACGCAGTCGAAATTATTGGAACATCTGTACACATATTTGTTTAGATTCAGATGTTTAATGCCTAGAAATTGGAAAAGATAAAAAGTGTAAAAATGGCGTGTTAAAAAATGACAAAATTGTTCCGGTCTTGCGGAGCAGTAATTGAAGTGTTGTGCCCATCTTCAGCTAATATGCCATGTTGATGATGTGGTGTATGTATGGCTCCATGTCTATTCGTTAGACGGTTTGTACTACTAATACTATTACTAAGCCGGCTCCAAAATTGTGTACACGCCGACAACACAGATACCAAGAGCTTATCTGCCGACAGCTGAACATCATCCGGAATTGATAGGAAGAGTTGACCTGGTACAGCATCTGTCAGTGGTCGATGATTGTCTAAAAGAAATTAGGTACCACAATGAAGGCGATGCAACGTTTTCAGTTTTGCGAGAAATTTTACTAAATGGGCAGCCAGGGACAAAGAAGCCGCTTCCGAATGAACTAAGACCCAACTTCAATATTCCGGAGAAGCTCATTGCCAATGACGGTTTGCTGTTCAAAGAGTTGTATTCTAATCCCGCATCATTCCGAAAAGCGAAGCGGGAACACGTTTATCACGCCAACTTAGATATTAACTGGAACATTAGTAGAACAAAAGGACTGCAAAATGGAGTAGATGGACAAGAATGGAAGATCAAATTAGGGGTGATGTGCTAAAGTGTACGGTGCGCCATCCACATGAAATTCGGCAAACGAGGGAACCAATGATGCCGTATGAGGTTCTCGATCGACCGTGGCAGGTGACAGTAGACTTATTCTGTGACAACGGGAAAGATTAGTTACTCATGGTGAATTACTGTAGAGATTATTTTACAACAGATGTACACACTACTACTGCTACGGAAACAGTGATTAATAAATCCTGAGGTCACTCCACTAGGCAAAGAATGCCGGTCGCGGTGTCTCGGCACTACTTGAAGAAGAAGATTAAGCACGAGTTCAATCAGTACCGGTGTTCCATAGCGGTGGAAGAAAGCTGTTGTGATGGCAAAGGTCGATGTAAGGTCATATGAAGTCGATGTTGGAGTCAGAAGTAACAGAGGGATCACAATGTGGGTTAAGAGCAAAGCTACCTACAGCAGGAGGCTAATATGAGTTCCTCATCGCCTGTTCAACTGAATCTAAGAAGATACCCCATCAACCCACAAAGGAGATTAGTTATAGAAACGCTGTAAGGCGCTCCGCTCTTAATTCACATTGTGATTCCAGTGTTGAATGAACTGCAGTCGGATCTTTCTGATTGTCCCCCCTATAACATCGATTTCATATAACCTTACACCGACCTTCGCCATCACAACATCCTTTTCCTCCGCTATTGAACACCGTTACTGGTTGAAGTCGTGCTTACTCTTATGCTTTTTCTCCTTCTTCTTCAAGCAGTGCCCAGACACCGGTATTCTTTACCGAGTGAATTGTCTCCAGAATTTATTGATGACTAGTTCCGTGGTAGTGGTGGCGTGTACATCTGTGGAATAATCACTATTGTAATCCACCGTGAATTATATATATATATATATATATATATATATATATATATATATATATATATCGAGTGAGACAGGCGTTTTGTGTCAAGCATGCTGTAATTTTTGCCGAAGAAAATGGGGTCGCTAAAGGATCGATTTTTGCAACAGATCCAGAAAAGTAAGTGATTTACCTTGCCTCTCTTGCTCTCGCTTCAACGCTGCTTGTTCGCGCTCTTTACGGATAAGAGCAAGTCGCGCCAAGTCGTTGGCTAACTCCACTTCGGACTTTGAAGACAAGGGACCAGCTGTTGCCTTCGCCAGCAACTCAGCCTCTTTCCGTGAAGGTCTGTGAAAGAGAGATGTTGATGAATAACAGGAAATTTCGGACTGTGTTAATCCGAAAACTCGCGAAACACTCGGAAAGCCAGGATAAAGAAATCCGAAACATTTAGATATAGGGCGTTATATTTGGATGGGAAAATAATAGCACGATAGCACAGAGACCAAAGTTGTCGTTGAGTTGAAGCCAGCGAATGCCGTCGAGTGCAGAAACTATGGAGACCAACGTCATTTAACCTTAAGTAAAACTTAAGCCGATGGACCACAAAGGATGAAAAGTATAGAACAGTTGGAGTAGGGGATATTGCCCAGCAGGTTCATAACGTCGATAAAGTAGCACTTATAAATCGCTGAGAGCGCAGTTCACTGCGCGAAGATCGGACCCAGCCTTGAGTGAGCAAGATACTACTTACTGTTATGGTATGGAGAGACGAGCAACGATTACGTCGAGAATGTATGTTGGATAACACATTGCAGTTATACTCAGCATTGAAGAACAGAAGCCTGAGTCAGGATTTCAGGATGTTCATCGAACTGACACTGCCATCGATGATGTATGAACATTACTGGGTACTTACTGGTTGAAAGGCACATGTCATAGTCATAAACAAGGCGGTGCAAAGTTGATGGCTTCCGGTCCAGGCAGGTAGAACTAGCTGAAGCTGTCGTTTGAGACTACAGTATAGCAGTGGAGTATAAAGTAATCGTGAGACCTGTAGTTATGAGTATTCGGATAAAGGATGACAAATTGTCACTCACAGACACCCGACAAGGTATAATAGATGGTGAATCACACCAACAGAGTGAAGAGTAACGCGTTCAACCAACGCATGATGAATATGAATGAAGCGTACAATCCCACTGCATATATGTTCGTAAGGATGCGCTTAGTGCATCGAACATCATAGACCCACAGAGAAGGCAGCAAAAGTGTAATGCACGATGCCACAAAGGCTAGTGGAAACTGAGCCAGATAGCTAAAAACGTAGAATGATGCGGAATTTTGCGTGTTCATCGGAGCAGTGTAGGGAATTGGGTGCCAACTGTATAAGAAAAGATTTATCCTAAGGCGCTCATTTGTAACTTTCGGCTCAAAAGACCGCGGTGAATGCATCTTTTTCTCGGTAACCTTAATTGGTGCTGTTGGCTTGGTACATTGGTCAGGTAACTAGGAGCCAGCTCGGTATGGAATGAAACTGCAGAATCCCGTGACGAGGAAAGAACTTTAATGATCGAGTGAAAAATGTCGCAGCACTAAAAAACCATTTTGATTTGTCAAGTCCATATGCAGTACATCCAGTTGTAAGCAACGGAATTCGGAATCATCCTATGCAATAGGTGTGCAAGGGTGAGGCTGGAAAAACACAAATATAGTAATCTGCCATATCGCATTAATTGCCTCGTCTTTCTACTGAAATTCAACAGATGTTCAGGTTGTGTTCTTGTTTTCAAGATAGGGTGAACCGTTAATTTGAAGACTGCGGATTCAGCTAACGTTGGTTGCATACAGCCACAATGCGATTTTCAATTGCAGTAGATAATAAGATTGTTAATGAGGACGATATCTGGCAATTGCTAGTAAGCTGTGATGAGTTTGCTCCATGTTAACAAGAAGCCGTCCGGTTGGGGATTCCTTGGGGCAACAACTAACAGACTGTCACTCGTAGACCGTTGGTTCCCACCACTGAATTGTGAGAGAACAGGAACGTCGAGATTGAAGGTTAAAATCCGTTTATGAAACTGGTTATGACTGGAAGTTACTAATGAAACATGCTACACGGCTGATGCGTACAACTAAGCCGGTTGGTAGTCTACAATACTGAGCAAAATCTTCAAAACTGCAAAAGTGCACACGTAAGAAGATTCCGTGGCTAATTGTGGATAGTAAAAGGTGATAAAACTAAAGCAGGGAAGCAAATAGACTTAGAACCGATCTGGAAACAAATTTCGCGTCTTCAGAAACGATTAAACAGCTCGTCCCACAAGAGAAAGCGTTCTAAACAAATGACGCGCGTCTTACCGATTAAAACTATCCCACTTAAAAAAGCTGGTAGGAAAAATATGTGGTGCAGAACATGAACAGGATATTATCAGAGCTCGACTGGATACACAAAGGCTATCCCTTAAGGTGCCGCTTCGATTCACTTTCGGGGATGGATCGAAGAGGTTAAAAAATGCGTGATCATCGAATGAGAATTGGTCTACATAAAACCCGACGGAGTAGAAAATGCGAGGTATCAGATACATGAATGAGTTTTAAAGCCCGTTTGGAAAGTACGCATCCAGAACGTGAATACTCACCCTTCTCGAACACTTGCCCCTTCGACATTGGGGTTGCACACTTCGATTAGATGGCTAATACCTTTGTGACGTGACTCTTCTCCTTCGCTCGACTCTGCTGCAAGGGATCGAGAAGCGGAGGTATCGGGTTCATCTACTTCACAATTATCACCGGTACGCTAAAAGTATACATGAGAGTGTGGAGACAAAATAAACACTGCGTTAAGAAACAAAGCATCGTCATTTATAGTGCAGCAGCAGAAGAGAACAATGGTTGGGGAATCCATACTTATTCAAGCAGTGGACTGTCATCAACAAGTGCCATATATAGAAACGCAAACAAAATAAATTGTGGCAGGAGGCGTAGCCTGAAAAATTTCATGCAACCAATTAACCTTAGGAATTTTACCATAGCAAGAACACCCAGCGTGTTGGTTGTTCTTGCTAGGTTAAGATAAATTCTTCCAGGATTTGTGGTACTTAGTTGTGTTTAACGTCCGAAGCGGTGTCCAACGCCGGAAAAATGAGTGCAACTTGACAGAAGTGTTGGAAACCGAGTGAACTGAATCAAAGTTCAAGTCCCTCCGTTGCATAAAGGTGACTGCAAGCTCACATATGTTGACAACCTACCCATATCCATTGTCGATCGATTCTGACAAGCAGATTGACGCATACAAGTCTAGCATGACAATGAAAATTGTATGAAGAAATCAGGTGTTGTAAGAACAAAACAAAACGATATGTCACTCGAGAAAAGGAAAAATAAACGCACCCCGGCTTGTCGATCAATCTCCTCCGGGGCAGTGAACGATCGAATTTTCCCCTTATGCGAGCGTTTTCCTAACATGAAAAGGGAATATAGCAGCATTAGATGAGACAAAAGCCAATTGTTATTATCATAATAACCAAAAAACATCACTTCAGTACGTAGGGTCAGACCTTGCTGCCAAGCGAAATAAATGATGGCTTCAAGCAGTGGTGGTGGAGACGACATAAGGTTGGACCGAAAATCCTTGAGCAAACGCTCAACGCCAAATACCGCCAACACACAATATGCCAGCCACCATGTAAAGACCCAAGTGAAATGGATGAGACATCATCCTAGTGACTCGAAATGTCAGCGTCGCATGCAATCTTACCGTCGCACATATGACTCATTGTAAGAATTCACGACAGGCGCGTCATTGGTGCATGTCGGGTACTTTGCCGATAGTGTTGCGTGTCAGACATACGATCATCAAGAGGATCAGAAAATGAAATGTGACGGAAAAGAGCGTAATTTAGTAGCTGGCAACTCTGGTTCCAGAAGTCAGGTCAATGGTCGCCCACAATGAACATTAGGAGGGCTGAACTGGATAAACAAAAGGCCATCTTCGGTATACAGTGGGCGAACGCATGTGTGAATAGGGCGCATATAGGAAGCAAACAATAATCCGGAAATCTCGGGATTCGACAGGAAGAATAATCTTCTTATTGTGCGAAGTATTTAGTTGGCAGCAAGAGTCTACTACAGTGTGACCTTTGTTGTTCTCAGGTGAGTGTAGCTAAGAGATCAGTTATGTAGCGGAGCAAGGTTGTATGGAGATAACGAGTCTGGTACTGCCCAAAACAACCAGGCGCTAGCAACTCTAAAGGGAAATAAGAGCCACTAGAATAAGTGCAGGATAGTCTCTCTCTCTCTCTCTCTCTCTCTCTCTCTCTCTCTATATATATATATATATATATATATATATATATATATATACATATATATATATATATATATATATATATATATATATATATATATACTTATTCACAGTCTGTTAACAGACATTATGCCATCAGAACCATGGCAGAAGAAAAAAAGTGAAGAAGATGGGAACACTAATGCGATTAAAAATATGGGAAACTATTATTTGGGTTTTACACACGCCATTTTTTACTTTTGTTTTGTTTTGTGAGTTTTAGTGTGCATCAAAGGGATGGTGAAATTGCAGAACAACATTGACGCCACTGATGTCTGTTGCGGGCCATGACGTCTAATGTTTCCAACCACTGCCATTCAGCATCTCGTGGTCCCCAACCTGGAAGTCGGACTGGTCCAACTGCCGCCAAACTTGAGGTTGCCTTCTTCATACTCCTCCACGTCATCGGTTGTCCACCGCGGCACTTTTTCCAATCGCTCCTTGGGAGTCCCAATAGCGCTCCACGTGGAAGGCGATGGGCTGGCATGCGCAGAACGTGCCCGAGCCAACGCATGCGATGTCAGAGAATAACGTCCTGACGACTGGCACTATTCGCTCCAAGCACGCGGTCTCTCACCTCTGCGTTGCTTATGAGGTGTTGCCACCAGACCCTAGCAATCCTTCGTGGACAGCGATTATCAAAGACTGATAGCCGCTTCATATCTTCCGAGCGAATAGGCCAAGTCTCAGCCGTACAAGAGTACTGCATGGACGGAAGCATTGTACATCCTGCCCTTGAGCTTGAGACTGACATCACGACGACGCCACAGATGTCTCAGTTTGATGAATGCAAGGCGGGCCTTTGCAATCCGTTGTGAGACTACATCTCCAACACCGCCACCAGCCGTGATGCAACTCCCTAGGTAAGTGAAGCAAGGGACTTGCTCCAGAACATGTCCAGCAATGGTGAGCGCGGGTTCAGGCACCTGCCAATCCTGGAGCAGCGTTTTACATTTTCCCGGAGTGAAGCACAGGCCGTACTTAGACGCCTCCATCGCCAAGCGGTCCAGAGCGTTCTGGACGGATTGTGGTCGTCCCCCAGCAAGGCGATATCATCGGCGTAGTCCAATTCCGTGAGTCTGTCTCCAGGGAGAAGCTCAACACCGCAGTCCTGGACACCTTCCAGTGCTCTTTGGAGAACATCTTCGATGGCGAAATTGAAGAGGAAAGGTGAAATAGGGCAACCTTGGCGAACACCGCTGGTCACAGCGAATGAAGAGGAGTGCGTGCCGTAAGCCCTAACGTTGCCCGACGTGTGACTGTAAAGTACTTTCAGGATGGTTACAAACTTGTCGGGCACACCTTTCTTCAGTAAACAGTTCCACAACGCAGATCTATCTACTGAATCGAATGCCGCTCGGATGTCCAAAAATACTATGATTGTTGGCCGCCGGTGGATGTGACGAAGTTCGAGAACTTGCCGAAGCGTGAAGATTTGGTCAATGCAGCCACGGCCTGGACGAAATCCAGCTTGTTCTTCTCAAGAAAACTCCTCTCTAGTCGTTGAAAGCCTGCCAAGTAGGACCGACACGAAGATTTTGGATGCGACAGAGATTAGGGAGATTCCGCGGTAGTTGCAGCAATCGGCGCGGGAACCCTTCTTGTGAATCGGGACAATGACCGATTCTCCCCATGAGCTCGGAACCTTCTCCTCAGTCCAAACTTTCGTGAACAGCGATAGGATTTCGCTGATAAGTACACTCCCACCATCTTTGAATAGAGCTGGTGGTAGGTTGTCGGGACCCGAAGCTTTGTGGCGTTTCAAAGATTGGACTACATTCCGAATCTCTGCTTCATTTGGGGGGGGGGGGCTGTGGAGACAGGCCAAGCATCATACATTGGGGCAGGAGGTGTCGCAGGGGACTGTGTTGGGTGATTGAATTGAAGAGCGAAATGCTCTGACCAGCGACCCAATCGTCTGCGAAGGTTGGTGATCTTCGTGCCGTCTGCCTCGCAAATCGTCTGACTGATAGCGTGGAAATTGCAACCAGTGGCCCTGATGATGTAAAACAGACGGCGGAAGTTGCCAGCTGATGCAGCGGCTTCCATCTCACCAGCTTGTTTTGACCACCAAGATTCACGATCAGAGCGAAGGCTTGCTTTCAGCTGTTGCGTAATAGACCGGCGGTGTTCGTTGTACTTTGCGCCAGCAGGCACCGCCCGTCGACGATCCAGCAATTCTGATGATCTTCCCGAGATCCAGCATTTGGGAGTGGAGCGAGTGAGGCCACAGCTGGACAAACCGGCCGACAATAAGGCTTGCTGGAGACTTGACCAGTGTTGATCAACATCCAGAGTGTGAGAGAGAGGGAGCTTTTCGCGAAGTTTTTGTTGATAATCTCTCTTCACCATTGGGTCCTCCAACTTGTAGGCGTTCAGTCGGGTGTGTTTTGACCTAGGCGAACCACCAAAACGCATGCAAACGGTCGTACACACCAGTGCATGATCGGTGTCGACGCATGTTGACCAAAATGATAGGCAGTCGCGTACACTGCCGCGCCACCTGCGACTTATAGCTATGTGGTCAATCTGTGACCAGCGCTGGGTTGATGATGGGGGGCGCCAAGTGGCGTACTGGCGTTCAGGATGACGAAAGCTGGTGCTGGAGAGGAATAGTTGATGATCAGCACAAAGACTGAGAAATCTCTCTCCATTGTCTGAGCGAACATCATCATATCCATGCGGTTCTCCGAGGTGGCGCTCACATGGCAGCAGACGACCGACACGCGCGTTGAAGTCACCTGCCAAAACAATGATGTCTGTTTTAGGAGCCCTTAGGAGCAGCTCATGAAGGTTCTGGTAGAACTGGTCTTTGACGATGTCTGAGCTACAGTCAGTGGGCGCGTAGGCAGAGATCACGAAGAGAGCACGCTTTTCGACTCGACGTCTGCTGACCTTACAAGAGCCATGGAGCCTCATCGCACAAAGGCGGCTATTGATCGAAATCCAATCAATCAAAGCAGTCTCGGCTCTAGCACTCAGGGCGATTCCAACACCAGCTTGCCCAGATGCGGCAGACTAGGCGTCACCAGAGAGGCGGAGATGGAACCGGGTGCGTGGGTGGAGCGGTGACACCAGCTGGTAGACCGAGTTAGAGTCCTGGAGTCGTGTTTCAGTCAGGCAGCAGATATCAATTCCAAGGGTCTCTAGCGTGCGTGCAAATCCAGCTTGCTGACCGATCTGCAGTAATGTGCATACGTTGAAAGTTGCAAGTTTGAACTGCGTTCCGGGTTGCAGGAGCGAAGATTGGCGACTGTATGACCGGCAACTCTCTGTTGAATACTGTGTGGTTGAGTTGACAGATGTCACGGGAACAGGTTCATCAGTGTAGGCGGGATTGATCGTTAAAGAGGAATCAGGTAAAAATGGGTGTGAATGGTACACGGGAAGGGTAGGTAATATGGTGGCGTGTGCTTGTGCAGTTGGCATCTATCTATCTAAATAACCTAGAGAAAACAGAGTCTAGCTACAATTACGACAAACTAATGTAGCAGACTAGTCAATGGGGATGTCCAAGTTGCTGAAATTGACCAAGCCGCTTTCAATGGGTTCGCCCTCAGGTCCTCCACTAAGCTTAACGAGGCTAATGCATGTGTGCAGCGCAATGAAAACAGTTGCGGAGTGATCGGATTTATTCTAAGAATAAAACACGTAGACAGCACGCATAAGACCAGCGTGACCCTTGCAAGCAACTTCCGAATTTGAACAAAACTTAGCACAGCACCTCGTTGAGACTGAGGAACTGATTGCAGAAGAAAAGATGTTCCTGGATTATGTTGTCTGTCACTAATAATCGACTAGGACAGGCGTTTGGATCTAGCAAAGACAGTGAGTCAGCTAAAGCCGCAAACCAGGTTCCCCAACAAACCCGAGAAATACGTGCACAACCACTCTAGCCTGAAAATGAGCACCACATTTGTCGAAGTGCTGTCGTGCGGCTTAAAATTTTGCACCCCAAGACAAAGACAATCAGTTAGACTATAACCTGCAATTTGAAGGCCTATATTGCCAGACAAATGAGCCAGTGTGAGAAAGTTAAAAAAGAAATTCTCCTTATAATTCCAAACAAGAAAACAAGACGAGGCATTCTGTGAGACGATGTTGTCATTTTGT